CACCGGCTGAGCTTCGTCCTTCCCCGCCCTGGGACGGGGCTTTTCCCGTAAACTCGCCCGCGCTGTGTCCCAACGCGGAGTCCCAGCGCGTCCTGCGGGAAGGGCCGCAGCCCCCGGGGTGTTCGGGGAGGGACGCTGCTCGGTAGGGAGAGAATCGGCATTGGTGTTCCCTTGGCATCCTCCCTCAGCTGCTCTCAAAGCCCTTCCTCACATCCCTGTCTCTCCTCTCTCTTCCAGAGCAGGGATGTGGTCGCTGGAGCTGTGCCAGGCCACGGAGGGACCCTGTCCGAGCCTTCCCCTTTCCCCGCAGAGGGGAAGCGCCGCACGCCCGGGACGCGCACACAGCCCCTTTGTGCCACGGTGCCGGTCTCTGCTCTCCCGTCCTTGCCCTGAGCCTGGTTTGCTCCTGCCGTCGTTGCTGTTCCCCAAGCAGAAATCTCTGCAGGATTGTTTCACAACCCAAAGGTCTCATTGCTAAGTGAAACCAGTCAGCCAAGGGCTCGCTTTTGGTATTTTCCCGTAAGCAACAGTACAGTTATTGACACTGAATTTCATCTACCAGCCTGTCTCATAAGGTCCTTCTGCAATCCCTCACTCAGCCTTTATTATATTATTATTACACTGAATAATATCACCAGGGGATGTTGTCACCTTCTTGATTCATTACTTTTTCCCAATTAATTTTTAATATACTAGGCACCCAACTGTTGACTTTCCTCCACCAGAAAACCCCTCCCTTTAACTCTGTCTTTTAAACAGTTGTTTGTCCACATGCCGACATTCCCCCTTTTCCCATAGCAGCTTTTTTTCTTTAAGTGCCTTGAGCAAAGTCATGATCAAGTGCATTTTGGAAGTTCAAGCAGAAGGTACCAACCAAATCCCCTTTATCCCCTGCTTGCTGATGCCATTAAAACAATTCCAAGAGGTTTTGAAGCACGACTTCCCTGTACAAAAACTGCGTTGACTCCTCCCCAATATTTAGCCATTGATGCTGCATCACAGCATCTCTGAATTTGCTAAGAGCAAGCACTATGTTCACCTGGCCATGGTTTGCCCCATCTGCCCCGAAACTCATTTCAGAAGCTGTTGTCACGTTTGCCGTGGGTACCGAGGGAGAGGTTACCATCCCAGCTGGTAGCTCAGCTTATTCATCCTTGAGCTCCCTCAGAGCCTGTACATGGCACTGTCTGGTCCCATCAACTTGTTAGTGCTCACTTCCATCTGAATTTTAATCTCTCCTTAAAAGCACTTCAGTTTTAAACAGAGTCTCTGTTCAGCTCTCCATATGGAAGTACTCCTGCATGAACTCCTCCAGCTCTTTCACAGGAAACACATATGCAAACAATTCACTTGTTTTTCTTCTGCAGGTCAGACCTTCCCTTTACTGCCCATCACATCAACTGACTGTGGCAGTCTCTCTGCTCCTGATTTTTTCAAAATTGTTTGTGCAAGTGTTATGACCTGAATGTTCTTCATATTCCATTTTCCTTCGCATTATTTTGGGGATTGGTTTTTTTGTTTGTTCACTTTTTTTTTTCCCCACATTTCACCTGCCAAATCTCATTCTCTCCCTCTTCTACATTTGGACACAAAGGATTCCTTCTTACTCTATGAGCATCCCACATGCTGCTGTTCAATCACACCAACCTCCTTTTGTCCTCCCTCCATTCTGTTTTGATGGGTGGTAACATTTGCTCCTGGCCCCACCGTGGTGTCTTACACTGTCTCCAACGCCACCTGCAAGTATTTAAGCTTTTAGCTGTGCCCTTTACCTTCACTAGTTTCATTTTAAATTAAATCACCACCACAGAGGGAACTTGAAAGAACAATCCTACGGGCATATTAAAGATTCAAATATCAAAACGTAAACACCGAGCCCTGCAATACATTGTATTTCAGATGTGTTTCTTAAACCAGGCATGATTTTTATCCGTTTGAATTGTGACTTCGAGATGAAGGAGAGTACTTGGGGGGAAGTATCAGCATTTGATGGTGTTTACATGGTGCGTGCACCCCTCTGTCCCAGCCAGCATCAGTAACGCTGCAGGTTCCTGACATGAGCTGGATTTGTCACTTTGCAACAGTGACAGAAATCTTTCTCTGTACTCTTCCAAAGGGTCTGGAAGCCCATGGGATCCTCCTGCAACTGGCTTACACCAGACAGATGTTCACCCACACCCAGAGACTCAAGACCAATCAGTGTGACCCACCAGCAGGAGCCCTTTCAGGCCCCGACATCCCCACCAGCCGCCAAGATGCCACGTGCATTCACAAGGACACGGCAGCACAGCCGGTGGTACAGCCGAGCCAGGACTGCGCTGGCCTCAACAGCCAAATTCTGTCTCCCAAAAGCCCACAAATCAGCAGATCCTCAAGCAACTTGCCAGGCATCACATCAGAGACAGACAGCTGTACAAGAGGCTGAGGTACAGAACAGCCTGATCCCAACCCACTGCACTCCTTCTCTGGCCATACTCTTCACAGCCCAAGAAACACGACCACAGTTATCCCCAAAAGTCCTCTGGAGCTACTCTTTCAGATGTTTCTGTCTAGGAAACCCGACTCATCGCTCCACAGGTGAGCTGGTGGTGTGTACAAAGAATACTCCATGCTTCAGAAAACTGAGGAGTAAGAGACACAGATGCAGGGTTTTTTCTCCCCTGCAGGAAACATCCCAGATGGAGAGTACCACCATGAGGATGAGTCCTGGAAAAGTCAGCTGTTACCAGTACAGGCCAGCTCCACGATAAACGACCATGTACTCTAACCCTGGGCTGCTGAAATACCTGTCCATGTGAGGATATCCATGTCAGCCTTGTTTCTCTGAGAGGGGAAAGGAGGTCCTTCACCTCCGAAAAACCCATATAGGCTGTATGAAGCAAAGCTGCATGTTCATGTGGAACTGGTTCTGTTCTGACAAACCTTACAGAAAGGGAAGATCTCTGTAAATTACAGAGGACTTCTACCAGAATTGTTTATCACACAACTCCCCACACCAGTCAAGAAAAACTGTTCTGCAGGCAGTGACACGCTTACTGCAGTCCCCTTGGGACCCTTCTAAAAGTCACCATCCCTGGAGCCACTTCCCTCCTCTGGCACAAGGACAGTCTGGAGTCAAGGGTTACACAGCAAACTCGGCACCTGTGTTATTTCACCAAGCCCCTTTCAGGATGTCTGAGCAACTTGTTACTTTTCATTTGGCTGATGGTCTACCAGACCCCTAACCTAGTGGGCATCTTCTCTCCCCACCTGCTTCAGCCCTTCCTCCCGTCCCCTCCCTGTTCACTGGGATCAGAATTACCCCGAGCACCCCAACTGTCCTGTTTTTGCTGATTCTTTAGTTCAAGTCTCACCCTTCCTTCATTTGCGGCTGAAGAGGAATCTACCTGCTGCCCCATCAGGACTTCACCTGCAGTCTATCTTTGTCCTCACTTCTCACTGCAGCAACACCACCAACATCAGGACTAACTCTTCCAGCTGAGTGCTGCAGAAGTGTTCAAACACTCCAAGACTGCACTTCAGTGTACTGAACATGATGACTGGTTAATACGGCAGAAATGGGCATGACAAACAGCAGCCTTTTAAAGAGGTAAGAAAAAAAAGAGTCAATATTTCTGCGCTTTTCAATTGATTAACCTCCCCCAAAAAATACATTCCTTACACCCCTTTTATATTCAACAAAACCTGTACAGTTCACTTAAACCAAATAAATGTATGTTTCCTTAAAAAAAAGTCACGCATTACAGGAAAATTTGATTAGGTCCTGCTTGCCTTCTTCATATTTAAAGATATTTTAGGTGGCCTAAGCTACAGTAACCATGACTGAAGAGTTGCAACTTGACAATGTGCCTACCAAGTGAACTTCCAGCGGGAAGGTTCAGTTGTTCTTTGTTATTTCCTACGATGCTTAGAAAGCCAAAGCACGAAAACCCACCCAAATACTAATAATTAAGAGCTTCCTGTGCAGATATTAGAAACATAATGTAATATTGGAAGTCCACAGCAGTTCAATTTTCTAACAAATTGAATACAAGCAAGACCAACATTGCAACATGAAGTGGCAAAGTGAATCCTGATTGAAAAATTAAATTCTTAATGGCTTTTACAAAAAAAATTTAAATACCTATTTCACGAAGCACTCCGAGAAAGGCTCTGCATTAAGCACTCAGCAGCTCACATTCTTCTACTGTGAAGCGAGACTAACACCTGGCACTAAATTAACTATTTAGTTCTTCAGGAAACTCAGCTGATATTCCTTATATTTCTAAGGCAAAAATGAAAAAAAAAAAACTTTCAGATTATATATTACAAAAACAGCATGTTCTCTGCAAGTCAAATCCTCCTCCCATATTATTTTACTTATTACATTAAAAAAAATCAAAAAACGATTCTTGGATTGATGGCACCTCTTTAAAAAAATGAATAAATAACTCAAATTGCCAAATATTAGATCATTTAAACATACCTGCACATCACTATTTGCTATGCTTACGGGGAAGCCATGAGGGCAACCACATCCATACACAGCTGACTACCTGAGCTTCCCTACAACTACGTTATAGACCAAAATCTTATAACATGAGAGCTAATTCAGTTTTCTAAAAATACTGGTTGCTTAAAGCACCATCTCTGAAGGCAGCGACGCGCTGCAGCTCGCCTGTGCGCACAGATCCCAGACGGGTCCCTACACTCTGCTCCAGTCTCTGCTGCACTGAGTAGGGATTGCCACCGTCCACATGTGACTGCACTCTGAAGGCAGCTGGAAGGGAATGGGAGAAAGCTAGAGAGTAGACAATGATTCATTCCAACCTTTACTTAGTTTGCCCCATTATTTTGTTTTTTTCTTTTCAATGTAACTTCCATGCAGAGTTCTCCAGAGTAGCTGCTGATGTCGGAGCCTGCCTTCTGGCCTTGGCACAGCCACAGGTACTTCTAGCCACATGGGAGAAAAGCTTTTGCTACATGATTCTTTTTTTTTTTAAATTTTTAGGCCAACAACGTGTTCTCATCTGAACATTACAGTTAATGAGCCCTATCAATAATTTCTAACAAAAACTGTACATGAGTTTACAAATTTTTTTTTAAATTTTTAGGCCAACAATGTGTTCTCATCTGAACATTACAGTTAATGAGCCCTATCAATTTCTAACAAAAACTGTACATGATTTTACAAATGTATTAACATATAAATAATGAGAAGCTTCCTGCCTGGAGCCTCCACAGTAGTCTTTTTGCTTGAGAATATAATACTGGAAAGGTAGACCCAATGATCCCTTTCCACAGCACCAGTCAGAGCTGGCTTAGTCCAGTCAGCCGTTCTGCTCAAGCATCACAGGGTTTTTCTTCTTCAGTGCCTCTGGCTTCAATAAGCAGTCTGTCATTACTGTGCAAAAGCAAGAGTCCAATGCCTTTCAGAAGGAATCCTGCTGCTAAGAGGCCTCTGCCACGCGGTCATCGTTCTGGTCCGAGCTCTTGCTGGAAGGTCCGTTTCTTCTCCCGACAGTGTTTCTTGTGAGCAGGCCAATCTTTCTGCTGGCATTGTGACCCACAGTACCTCGCTACCTGGCATCGGCCACAAATGTTGAATTCACGTAACTAGGAAGAACACAAGACAGCGTTAATGAGCCTGCTCCGTACCAAGGAGCACCCTGACATTACTTCCCAAGTAGGTTTCTGAATTTTGCACCTGTCACAAATACGAACATCACACCAGGAGCGTCAGAGTAGCAACAGGTTTTGAAGTAATTGCATTTGTTTGATTTTGCAGTTGCTCTCACAGAATTATATTATGTCTTAATAGACAAAATATTTGAGCACTTCACATTTGTTCTCACACTGCTACTGTTTTTGCCAACCTAAGTTCTGTTTTCAGCTACAAACATCTTCAATTCAGAAACGATTAGGAGGGCCGCACAAGCTCAGTCACTGCCAAACTTACAGTTATCCAGGAAGCTTTCATACACAGACCCAAATAAAAGGTAAAGCTCACTCTATTTCAAATAGAGGGCATTTAAGACCATTTTGCAAACGTTCCCTTCCCCAAAGGAAAAAGTGGAACGTGATTTTAGCCTACTCAGCATTTATCACAAGAAAAGCCCTTCTTATTCACAGATAAGGACATCGGCCTGACAAAGAGAATGAAATGTCCAAGGGCTGTGCCTCTGACTGCAGAAGTTGCTTAATTTCATCTACCTACAGCAAAGAACTAGAACCAGCTTTCCTCCCAGTTCTCCCCTGAATAAAGACCACTCAAATTCACCCCCTTCTCATGAAAAGTCAAGCATGCTATTTTTTTTTATTCCACTACTGCCCAAAACCTCTTACAATGCTTTCTCCTGTCTTTTACAGCTGCTTGCTCATTCCAGATCTGGGTCCGTAGAGGAATCCTTCCACCTGTCTTTTCGTACACTCTGCAGAAATTACACTCCTCACAGTAAACCACCAGGTCATTTACTGTTCCAGCTCAAAACTACATTCTCTCAAACTGAAAATCATCATAGGCCCTGAAGATTCATGCCAAAGAAAACCCGAGTTAAAAATAATCATTGCTTTTAGCAACTGAGTGGCACCTGTAAAACCTTTCAATTTCAAGGCACAGACAGTAGCCTGCAGCATTACATGCTCATTTTCAACTCTTTTGAACACACCTGTTTTTCAATCATTGTGCATGGGGGGTAGTGACATTCATAATATGTGCATGAGTTCTCTTCCTCCTCCACAACATCCCCGTTAGCGTTGTAATATCGTGTTACATTCAGGACAGGAAACTGCTCTTCTATAGGGTCTGTAGGAAGCTGTTGGATTGCCAGCCAATACAGACTTTGTTCCCTGTAAAAAACAAGTACAAATTTGGTCCATAAATTCACAATAAGCATACAGGGAAACTGATTCCAAATTAATAAAGTAAGGTTAACATTGCATTCCACCTGTTAAGCCTCAAACTACACATGCTGCTCATATACTGGATCTTTTTAGGGTTATTTTAGCCTAAATGCAAAAAAAAAGTTAAAAAGTATCTATCAAGAAATATTTCATCACGCAAAATTATTTCTGTGTAAATGGCTTGAAGCTTGTTTCTTGTCCTTGAACTCCCAGAATCATCGGGAACATCATTGTAGCATCATTGCCATTCACTGCATCTTCTCAAAATCTGTTTAACAAGCTCTGACCATCCCTATCTTATGGGTGCTGCAACTGTTTCAAGAAGTGTCTAGCGTGATGGTGAGTCTATGGGTCTCCCACCAAAAATGAACATGCCTGCACTACATCACAGATTAACGAAATCCATCCTGACATGAAGAGTTTGATGTGCTTTGAGTAACACTAGTGCAACACAGCACACAGGAAGTTCCCCCAAACTACTAGAGAAGGGTGATGGAAGTCGATCCCAGGAACTCATTTTGATTTCAACCCAAACACACAACAGCAAGCGTAAGCATTTTGCAGCTGCTGGCTTCTACAGGTTGTGTTAGAATTTCGGTGTCTGAGGACGAGACCCACAAGCCAGTAAATCTGCAGATTTCAATGTCCCCAGATGCCATCCCAGGTGCCATCACTCAAGCAGAAGCAAATGCAGCCTTACTTTTTTACCGTGGTGACAACACCACCCACAAGCCAGTAAATCTGCAGATTTCAGTGTCCCCAGGTGCCATCACTCAAGTGGAAGCAAATGCAGCCTTACTGTTTTACCGTGGTGACAACACTTGGCACAGCAGGACCTCTACATAATAATACCAAGGGGTTAGTGGCCCCTCCACAGCTAGCACCAACAGTGAGCACTAACTGTTCCCCAGGTGGGGAAGCTAAGATGTATAGTAACGTGTGAGTAGCCCAAGGCCAAAATCTTGTCTCTGCCAAGATGAAAATCACTAAAAAATGGAGACAACAATTTAAGATATTGTCAGGTTTTTTGATGGCAACCCCCTGCCAAATATTGACGTACCTTTGTTTACTAGAGATTTCTTCAGCTTTGGGTTTCCACCCCCAAGGAACCAGGCGCAGATTGTCGAGGCGGTTGTCCACTGTCACCGAATTCAGATGTACCACCTGAAATCCAGGAGCAATCCCTCCCCGGTGTCTCTCCCTGGAGGAGACAAAACCAACTTGAAGATCAGTGACGAACAAGACCCTGTAGCTAAAAAGCAAAGAATCACACTAATTCCAGAAGTCACACTCCTTTCTGGCCAGCTGTCTGGTGTCACCGAAACAGCTGCAGTAAAACTTGGGTTGCCAACAGACTAGAGGCAACTTCTCCTAGAAGAGACTTGTTCCAGGCGGTTATTTCCATTATAGATGAGTTGAATCACACAACAATCATGGTGTATTTTAACTGTAAGCATATTGCAAAGAATGTTCCAGAGACTACCACTCCAGCTCCTGCAATGTAATTATTGTGTTCCACAGAGCAGGCTTGAAATGAGCTAATACTGCTTTATTACTGGAATAGGAAATTCTATCAGACACATTTATGCAAGTTTGGCACTGGTGTGAAGACAGAGTTTGTTATTTATGAAGAAACATCACTCAATAAGCAACAGGACAGAGGTTTCACCACCACGTATGCAAATGCTTTTTAGACTCTAATTGTGCATAACGCACAGAAAGCCTGCCACGACTCCACAACTGACCAAGAGACATCCACTGAAACTTGCTCAAAACCAAAGCAGAACTATTAGCAAGGAGGACGGCTGCAAATTAAGTCCTATTGCAATTCTTTCCTATTGCCTTCTAACAGTTTTAATTTCACTTTCCACCTTCTTTTCATCTCTCCTTTCTGTTTCATGAAGTATCAAGTTCACTGTCAAGCACTCTTAACGCCTGGATGAGTTTCCCTATCGCTTCTTGTGGGAATCCCCATCCCACCTGAAATGCAAGGGTTGGACAGAAACAGTGTCTCGGCATGTTTGCTGAGCCATGATTAATTTTACAGCACAGAGGGAACATCCTGGCAGCAACCAAGGACAATGTAAAACTGACAGTGCTGTCTGAGGGCTACCCAGCATTTCCTTCTAGGAGACCATTCCAACAGCTACTTACAACTTTACCCAAGTCTAGCTTAGAAGCTGCTTCCAGCTCAGTGTTTACTGAACATTTCAGTTCAAATGGCTCATCCAATTCTGACAAGATACAACTGCCCAAATTCAAAAATTCCCACCTTTTTTTTTTTCCCTTTACAAAGCTCTCACATTATCCAGCAGAATAAGGAAAATCCTATCAACGTGACTGACAACGAAAAATATGGTCTTTTGTTTTCCTTGTCAAAATCCATCCAGATATGGTTAAATTATATACCTTGGGGAAAGACAACCACTTGCAATTCACATATGCCCGAAAACTTCCTAGAATTTAATGAGTAAAATTCCCTTGGAGAGGATACACTCAGCACCCACACGCAGCCCGTGTTCCAGCTCATAAGCAAAGCAATTCTCCATGTTCCACGGGAACAGAGCCTCCTGCTAAGGAGCCTTCTGGGCCTCCACAGACCTGGGAGAAGCTCTCCCCTTTGAAGATAAAAGGAATAAAATCCCTCTTTTGGAAAAAAAAAGAAAAAACAAACACCACACAAAAGCAAACAAACTATGTAAAGGAGTCTGCCGAAATGCACTAAAGGAGGAAAAGCTACTTTTGAGTTGTCAAAGGCTACTGGAGGGTCTGGCAAAGGAAGTCAGGAATCCCGAGGGCTACAAGTGGGAAGCCAGGAGGTACACAGACCCAAAAAGATGAACGTGAGCATCAGTCAGATACAGAGACAGTGAAGGAGTTAAGGTTCTTAGCTAGACTAGGACAAAGTTCCAACAAGAGATGGGATAGATATGAATGAGGAATCTGGGAGGAGGAGACAGAAGTTCAGAGCAAGAGCAAACTGTGCAGGGGGGGAAAGGGAGGAGGGGAGTCTAAGACCAAGTTAAGAAATATTTTTGAAATTGATTATATAATGAGAGTTTAAGAGAGGCTGGAGATCGGGAAAGAGAGAGGATTACGAGAGATTGTTCAGGACACCAGGAAGCCACAGAAGAGTGGCACATGCCTACCACTGCTCCTGCAAAGTCTAGGTCTGCACCCACAGCCCTCCATAAGCAAATACCAATAAAATTCACCAGCACAGCGAGCCACTTTCTGCACTGTGTATAAACCCACATTCGTCTACATTGCTGTCTGTTTTTCTATTACTTCAGGTGACAAAGGTCTGAAAGTAAACATGGAAATTGGATCTTGCTGATGACCAGGAAAAGTATTAACATAACGCCCCTCGACTGAGAGGCCAGAATTAGCACAGGCAAACTCAGGACGGTCCCTTTTCTCCATAGGTAATCGAGCAACCTTTGAATGTACAAGCACGGACTGCTCCCCTCCCTAGACCTACACCTCAAAAGTGCACAGCATGGACCATCACCAGACGCTAATCAGAAATGTGCAGTGAAGGACAGGCTCATGAAGAACCTGTCTTCTCCCTGCAGAAGGGGACAGAGAAGAAACAGCCTTGCTAATGCAGCCAATGCTCCCGCAGAGCCACAGCTTCCACCTCCCCCGGCACACCCGAGATCCTACAGGATGGCAGGCAAAATACTTAAACCAAACCTCTTCAGAGAATTATGGGGATACTGTTCTTTTTGTATTTCATCAGCTAACTTGAACCGGAGCCATAATCAAGTGGGCTACAGACAGTAACAGTGATGGGAAGTGCTCTGAAAAAAAAAAAAGAAATCAGGTCTTAGATGTCTTTTTGAACATGCAGTGATACTTATGACTAATCTCCTGATGCTGCTGTTCCCCAGAGAACATCACTGCACCCAGACAAAATAAAGCAAGCTGGGATTGCTATACAGGGAACAGGGCGACAAGACGACAGACTTATTCTGCAGGTCCCTCACAAGAGACATTCACAGCCTGCTTTGGAGGAGCTAACAGTCCATCCTGAAAACACAGCAAGCACTAGAGAGGCTGCAGGAGGTTTCTCCTGAATTAATATTTGCAGCAAATGTGGTATTTTAGTGGTTTCCATTGAGTACTGCAGGTCACTCTGCAGAGGTCAGCAGGAGGGCTTTGGGGGAAGAGTGGGAGAAGGTCCCTGTCACTGCTGCAGCTTTGGCAGCCACCAGCTTCCTATTTTGAGGGCTGCGTTATGTGAACAGATATTTGCTTAACTAAATAAAAAAAAAAAAAAATCTGCTTTACTTGCAGTAGCATCCAACACGTGCCTACTTACTTCATCTCAAACCAGAAGCACCAGATCAGGTACTTAAACCAACCAGGTTGGCTTTTTTCAAAGTGAGCTGAATGTTTGGGGTATATTTGGGAGAGAACAGTTAAGTGACACTCCTATACCTGCAGTAATTCAAGTTCTTTGCTTTTAATTTACCCCAGAAGCAAAGCTGGCACCAGAAAGAATAACAACTGCTACTGTCCTTCTCTCATTCTTTCGAAGGCTCCAAAACCTTCAGCATCACTCCTTCTCGCAAAGGGAAGGATCTGACACTAAAATACATTTCTGTTCTGTTCTCACAGCAGTCCCCAGTGCAGGTAAGTAAAACTGAACAACGTGGTTATTCTGTTTCAGAGGGGCAGGAACTACACAGCACCTGTAGCCAAGAGGCTTTCTAAAGAGATCAGGAGACCCAGTCACAAGGGTATACTAACCTGCACTGCATCAGCTTGTAACTAAAGATCACAGGAAAACAAACACCCTCAAAGGGATCAAACTGACTCCACAGAAACAGCTGTTACTTGTATTATTTCGTATTTTCTAGTTGAAGAATTTGACTTTACAACTTCAGAACTGCAGCTCTGCTTGCCCGAGTTTACACCCCGCCTTTCTGACTTTCAAAAATCCCCTATAACCTGCACAACCTCAAGATTTTTTAACACAGTGCATGCTAGAGTGACAATTTGAATTACCTGAGTATGTTAGAATTATTTCCTAGTTTAAGTAAAACAAACTAGCAGAGGCAATGACTGGGCAGTGCAATAAGCAAAGAGCTGGACTGTCATCATCTACACAGCCTTCAGAAGGAATAATTTTAAGGTGCTGTTTAGTGCTACTTACAGGCGACACTTATTTCTGCATGAGGTTCACAATTAGCAGTAGCCGACAGTGATTTACCACATACTGGAGCCAACTTCATAATAATTTTCAGCAAAAGTTATATGTGCAACAAGATTAAACATTAACAGGTGCAGGTTAAAATCCATATTTATTGAACAGATTGTAAATAATAATAATAGTCTCTGATATTCTTCCTCCTCTTGTACAGAGGCTAGTTTGGGGAAGAAAAAGTAACCTGGAACAACAACAAAAGCACAGCTATATCTTGGGCACTGGGACTACAAAGTATTGTTTACGGGACTGAATACAAAAGATGATTGATTTCTCAAAAAAGGCTTTTGAAAGAAATAACAGTTCTCTTTAGCATACCCTATCTTTCCTACAAACCCATGAACACATCTAGAAAGAGCAACATATTAGCCCACCAGACGAGCTAATCTCTCACAACCGAGGAAGTTGGCCTCTGAGTCTGAACTGGCACCTACGAAGGATATCAAGCAATGATTCTCACAATACGGAAAGCAAGACATAGCAGCTGATATGAAACACCATCAGTATCACTTGAGACAGCTTTCCAGAAGCCAAAAAAAAAACCACCACACCCAAATTTTAAGTTATCAGAGGTTCTATCTCTCTCCAGCGCTCTGCCAGTTCTCACTGGTGCCAGTAAGACGTACCTGATTATCACAGGAAAAAAAAAACAACCCACAACTCAAAAGGTTAGTCTTCACCTTAATAGGTCCTTGTTCCCCCACCCCTGAAGTTTTAGCTGTGTTTCTCAGATTTACAACAGTCTCTACTAGAATAGTACTCACCTATCAGTGTCTTCCCTGGGGATAACATTTTTAGAGACTCAGCTGTTTGGAGGCTCAGCACAAAACCAAACCATAATAAGATCTATGGGCACCCCCTGTGCTGGGTTTCCAGCTGAGTGTAGCTGCAAGCCTCCTGAGAAGACTTAAAATACTACAGGCAGAGACGTAAACAACATACAAGTTGATGGCAGCAAACTCCAGCTCAGTGAGCCCATCAGGTTTGAGCTCTCCTTACGATACCTACCAAAGCAGCTCATGCAGGAGACGGCCAGATCCCCTTCCACGGTTTTTGTCGAATGCGTAAGCAAATATTTTAGCACCATTTCCATCAGCATCTACCTCCATCCGAGCCTAGAGAAAAGGGAAAGGCTGTGAGAACATCCAACACTGAGCAGCAGAGCACACGCTCCGCTGGGATACGGGAAGGACCCGATATTTAACACTTGTCTCCTAGAGGTCACTTGACCTTAGCGGAATTCGAGTTGTTTCAAACCTCCAAGGGGAACCAACCAGCTCTGCCATTGTTGTTTATGAAGATGGGAAAGGGCAGAAAGGAGGCCGTGCACAGCAGGGGTGCCACTCGGACAAAGAACAGCGACAATCCAGTTGTGAGCCCCGCGGGCCAGGACCCATCCTCCACTCTGGCGCACATCTTCTGTGCAGCCGTCAGCGAGCCACCAAGGCTTTGCTTCCAGTGTTGCTTTACACCAACCTAAGGAGGGGTTGGTAGTAAAAAGAGGGGTCCTGCCCTCTTTTCTCCACTTCCTAACATGTTGGCACACAAACTGCACTAAACCCTAGGCACACTGAGGATACTCGCAGTGTACCACCACTCTCAGCACCAGCACACGAGTGAGCTACCACCGAGGAGGGATGGGCAAACGTGGTGTTCTCTGCTAGCAGCATTGCCACAGCACTTAGAGCCCCGAAGAGCAGCTCTGAAGTACCCGCTGTGCTACAGCCTGAGTTTGAGAAGATGTGGTAATCCAGGATTCTTTCCCTTTCAAAGCCTTTGTAGAATCCACTTACCCTCTTTCAGTGGGTGTTAAAAACATTTTTTTTCTGGCCCCATAGTAAGTTACACTAAAAGAAGTTTTCCTCATCCCAGACTACGTGCAGAGTGAAATTTTTTTAAAGTTTGCCAAACCAAACAATGGAAGACAAGTCATCGGTTCTCAAAAACTATACAAACAGAAAGCTGAAGATTCAAAGCTATATAATAAATTAATTTGCTTTAAACTAATGCTCAGTTAAAACGAAAAAAACCAGAACTGTTCCTGCTTGAAAGCATTCCCATTCGCATTTCAATGATTTCAAACTTTTTCTTCCCCCCAAAGCAGGGAGGTTGTGCGGCAGAGCACTTCCACAGCACTTTTATCCAAGCATGTCACACAGAAAGAAAAAAAAAACCTT